TTTTTGTGATTTACTTGTGTGTAACATAATTTAATTCATAATATTGTTAAATTTGGTATACTAAAAGCACTTTCCCGGAAGCACTTTAGAAAATTTCAAATGATAAAAATATATTATTAATATTGACATACAGTTTTATTGCTTTAAAATTTAACAGACATATGAAAAAATTCATTAGACCAGAAATAGTTCAAAATGCGCAATTTTTCTTTTTCGCGGACTTGGAAATGGCATTTTGAAGTTTTGATTGAAACCCAGTTAGAATCGTAGGACCAGTAAAAGCCTCGAAGACGTTTGAAGATGGTGTTCCATTCTCGACTTTTGAAGTTGCAACAGTTGCGCATTAAATGTCTGCGGCTGTTATTCAGAGTATTTAGGGAGTTGCAATAGGTGGGCATGGCCATCATTATTACTGCCTGTCCTATTGTTCCTAAAAATTGCTTTTTTATGGCCATGAAAAAATGGATTTTTTTATGGCTTTTTTTTGTCTGGTGTCGTAAGTTGAAGACAAGCGCTTTTTGTTTTTCACCTATGCAACAGTATTGCATTTTTGCATGAATGTTTTCCTCATTAAAAGCAACTTTGCAGTTGGAAGTATACCAACTACGACCAACTGTTGCAAAAATTAAAACCGCAAAGGACTTTTATGATACGGTGTATACCGTTTCACATCAAATACGTACACAGCTGCCCATTAAAATTGCAACACCAAAAAGGAATAAGCTTGTAAGGATTATGTTAATTTTATTAGCAGTTAAATTTTAAGTTAAAGTTCCTTTCCTGTCAAATACTCAGACAGAAAATGAGAATGCGGATATGGTACTGTTATTTACTAGTTTTTCTCTCGGCAAGCCTTTTCCAAATTCTGGATAAAGCCACGTCACTTAATTCGCACATTAAAGCGTTTCATTGATAAGCTATCTCTTCTTTAAACTTGGATTTATGTCAACCATCATAGAACTTTATTCTGGCATATACTCCATACAATCGCATATATGACGTGCTCACACTATACTTCATTACCTACTATATACATCTAAATATTCTATAGTATACTCATATGTACATACTCATATACTTATTGTATCATACAACTTACTACTCTTTTGTATTAATATTACTTTTAGACATTTCATACAAATGTCTAAATGTTTTGTAACAAAATATCAATAAACAATTATATTCACATATATTTTATATACCGCCTTGCATTGCTTCTATCCATCATTTTATTCATTAATTAATGGATTTATAATGTGCATTTAACTGTATCATGTCATATGTACATCTTTTAGTCTATGAATTTACATTTATGTATTTAATTTATTCTAAACTGTATCATGTCATATGTACATTTATTTTTAACTGGCATAATATTTTCAATGTAATTTACTGCAAACATATTAGTCTATACCTATGTATTCATCATTATTGTAATCTGCTGTAAACTACTGTCTTTTTATCATCCTATACTGCATTTTTATCACACTGTATTGTACTTTTATCAACCCATAATATCTCTACAACTATATGTTTGACTTCTCTTCAGGAGTTTACCCTCGTGCTGTATCATGTATTAAGTATACTCATATATCACTTATTAGAAGTCTTATGCAATAACATATATGACTTCGTATTTACATTGTATTATGTTAAAGGTATCGTAACTAAGTACACAACAAAATTTTACTGCCAAGGTATACCTCAATTGTTTGTAATCAATCATTCATTTTCAATTATGTACTCACGTATTTGCATTAGTGTTGTCTTAAGGGCTCTCTAGATCATGGTGGACGTGGTGCTATACTAATTAACCGTATGGTAGGAGGCATAGTGCCCACGTCCCCCGCTCCTCATCCTTATCCTTTCTGTCAAATACTTAACTTCAACTTACTACTTCCGGACAGAATGTAGTTTTGGAATCATTCTGAATACTTAATGAGGAGGAGCGGTATTTAAACCACGAAGTCTACTTGCAGAGTTAGAGAGAATCAGAGTTTCTGATTTGCACGCGTCTGCCTTTTGGCTACTCTCTCTCTCTCACACAAAGCTGTTATTACGCTCGGCCGTACTCAGGCCCTTGATAAGCTTCGTAGTCAAATAGAGTTAAGGGGCCAACTCGATTAGAATATTGATAGCTTCGGCTATATTTCTTTAGTTAATCTTAGTTTTAGTTTATTTCTTAGTCTCTTCAGTTCAAGCAAAAGTGTAGGCTTTTATTGTACACTCTAAGACGGAATTTTGTTAACTCTTATTGCAATAATAAAGGGTTATTTACCCTTCCTTCTTGTTGTTTCTTGTTACACGAACTTAAGCGATTATTCGCTAACTAGTTCTTAAGATTCGTCACTTTCTATAGTAACTGAGAAATACACTAGTGAGAATCTTGCAAGCTGACGAACGTCAAAATCACATGAAAGGAAGAAGTTGGGCTATGCAAATGATTAGTGTTTCAGCGCATTTAGGAGACGTAGGTGAGAGAAATTGCCTATCGAAAGTGTAGATTATCGTTCCGTGATAACGCCGGTTGCACTGGTCGACATCCGACTACCGTCATGCGAATATGGAATCAGTGGATTGCTGAGGGTCATACGGAATGGCATGCAGGATCTCAACGCCATCCTATGAATTACGCCAGAAAGGACAGACATATTCTTAGGTCAGCCCTGCAAAACCGTGCGATCACATCACGGACCATTAGTAGGAAATGGGCAAGTTTCAGCATGCCCAGTATCAGCTATCAGCTCGTAAGGTGCGTCGACGTTTGCAGCAGCGTAGGCTATCAGCAGGGGGACCATTACTTCGGCTTCCCTTGATAATGCAGTATAGAGAGAGACGGCGACTAGTGTGCTAAACGACAGAGCCGGGTACAGCAGTGGCACAATGTCACCTCTCCAAACAGTACCGGTTCTACGTGCAGCATTCTGATGGTCGTATATGTGTCTGGAGTGTCCAAGGAGACCGCACGTCGCCTGCTTGCATTTGATATCGGCATAGGGGCCCTGAACCTGGTGTGATGGTTTGGGCAGCCATTGGCTACACGACACGCACATCTCTAGTTCATATCCACGGTAATGAACGCAGATGGTTACATTTCTGATATCTTACGTCCAGTGGTTGTGCCCTATCTTCGAGGTCCCCAAACACCATGTTCCAAAAAGATAATGCTGACGTCGAGTTGACGCATGAAAGTTGTCAAAACCACAAGTTGCACGTCGTGTTCTGATCTTCCTCGATACACGGGATATTTTATTGCTGTCCTGGCCTGCACGGTCTTCAGATCTGTCACCCATTGAAAACATCTGATCATGGGTTGAGAGACTGGCCTCTCCAGCTAATACGGTTAATGAAGTGTAGCATAGACTTAAAGCAGCATTTAATGAATTGCCTATTTCATCCAAGCCCAGTTTGAATTTCCATGTCTAATGAGATAAGGGCCGTTTTAGCTGCCAGTGGTGACAGCTATTTCTATTAAATTCGCATCCCTGTAAACCTTCGAAATGTTTACAAATTTATTCATTTGCCTCTATGCCATACTGTTTACGTGCAATAAATATCTTTTTGTATTTGCTTTCCTTCGTGGTGTTGCAATTTTAATGGCTAGCAGTGTAATTTGAAAATTCATGAGCTCCTACTTTAACAGCTTGTGGGTCGCTAATCTCTAGAGCTTGGCCTAAAGGCTACTTTAGTTACAAGAACTGATACGGTAAATGATCGCTTTTCATGAAAACAAAATTCCAAAGAAATAAATGTCAATCAGATAAAAATCCGAATATAGGTAAACCAACATTATTTAATGTCAATTCTATTTACCATTTTCAACAACTAAACATTACAGTCTTCTTCGGCTGCCCTTAAATAAAAGACGAATACTATACATTGTAAGTGAGATCTATGAGCAAAATGCAATGAAGTTTTATGAGTAGCTAACAACACCGTCATCTATAACCAAAAGACAGGACCAATTTCTCTATTATAGATAACGCTGCGTTAATGGATGTGGTAAGTTGAGCAAATGGGCGCAGTTATTTTAGGTGGCGTTGCGTAAATTGGCAAAACAATTGATGGAATTTAGGAGAAAGGATTCAAACTAAGAGTTGATATACTCTTATAAGACTTATAGGAAGTATGGTTTAAAATTCAAGTTTTTGACTGACCAATACGAATAAAATTAAAGGTTTTGACCCTAATACTGAACCAATAGGTAGAAAAATTTGTGTGGATATGAAAAGCGTCAAGGAAATATAGTTTATCAAAGAAAGAATTTGGAAGAAGCAAAACTGGTATGAACACAGAACATAGTTCACCAACGTGGGGGTTTTCGCCCAACGATAGGCACTGAGGAAATCTGGGGGGAGGACGTTATTGAACCAAGTAGAACAAGGGAATATTGAAGCATATATATATACACTGCCCAAATATGACAGTCATTCAGTTTTAAAGAATCACACTTATGTCAATTGACCTTTAACATATCTTGGTCGAAGATATACGTAGGTTTATTTTTCTATTCCAAGGGAATAAAATTATAAATTATTAGTAGATTATTTTAAGAACATAAACACAAATCTGTACTTGAAGAGATACCCAATACATATAAGTAGCATTACTTATCGGTGTTGGTGCTGCGGGAAGGATTAGTGTTTGTTTTTTCAGGTTCATTATTTTACTCGTAAATATTTTGAGAAGACTTTAGTCGTTACCATTCTGTTCCCAGACTGTATGATGTGTTTCTAACTAACAATCAGATCAAGGGGAAGCACAATAAGAATCTAAAAATTTTGAAGCGTGTCCAGTCAAAAACTTCAGATTACAGTCAAAGGTCATAACGATTCCGTTAAATTATTACTGGAAAGTAAAGGATCTTTGAGCAGAAAACAGCTTGAAAAGAAAACAGTGACTCGAAACAGATTGCAATTTGAAAGATCCTCACACAAGACTTAAAAGATCCAGACTCTTATGCATCTCACCACAAATGCAATCTAGTTTGCAATTCTTACCTGAATTAAACGCCACTTCGCTAATGAGTATCCACTTGGATGCAAAAGTGAGTTCCACTTTGATGAATTTTCCAACTCTGTTGTAAAGTGAGATGGTGACGTTTCGAGCTTTTTCTAAGAAGATGTCCGGCATGTAAGAGAAGTTGACGGGCGGACCGTTGAAGTATTTACCTCCAATACTGAACCAGATCTTGGCCGAGGCGAACACCTGCACCTCCCTGGAGTGCATATTGTTGCAATAGAAATAAGCGGCGGAGAAATTCCTTACTTGGTCGAAAGCGAAGATTATTTCTACAGGTCTGGAGTATGAAGAATCATTCTTCCAACCAACCCATTCATAACCTAGACAATTCAAATCAATAATATATTTTATTTGCTTGCTTCACTTGAACTAAAAGCACTGCATGCTAAATGCTTGATCTTTTATAACAGGTTAATTCTTTTTTTTTCACATAACCTACAATGCTGTAATATAACTATAAAAACTCACTACATATATCTATAATAAGAATATTAAGTTCAATATACAAAATAAAACTGATATATAATACACATAATACAACACACCCATGTGGATTAGTATGATATTCTACAATACAAATAAGATTTAATCTCTTCAAACAAAATGGGACACATATGCAATACCTTAGCCACCGCTTCTTCTATTAGAGAAAAATAAGCCCCGTTTTATGTTGTAAATTTAGTGGTGTTTGAACACTACATGTACTGTTGCATTTAAGACTATTTCTGATATTTTAAATGGAAATATTTCATTTATTATTGAGGTATCGACATAAAGGTAAAAATGCTGTATAACTCGTAAAAATATGAATATTTATCTATTGTGTACTTGTAAAATACACGTGTCATGGAATTTTTCAAAGGGTTATATATACCTTACTGGATTTGTTTGACTAACTGGAATCAATTTCCTCTTTCTGAGCGCTGAAACATTTCAGTAATGAGCCAGACATTGACCAGACTGAACATGGACATTGATCCAGACAGTACTACTCGAGTTCTTAGTCATCAGTTTAGTCAAAACGTAGAAGTACTCGCAGATCAATCTGCCGATTCGGACTTTTCGGTAACTGGCTCAGAAAGGTTTAAAGTTAGCAGTGAATTTTGTGTTTACTAGCTACAATAATTTTTACGAGTTCTCTCTGTCCTTTAATACAAGGACTACTTAAAAAAATTCAGCTTATCAGCGGCCTAGTAAAAAAACTTCCTTTTCCTCTCTTCCAGACAGTTATATACATAGTGGAGGGTATCTACTTCGAAGGCAGCCTTTCTACACAACATTTAACATTTCTAGTAATGAACCTTTAAAAATGCTTGTGAAATTTCCTGTGATTAGTGGCTGATTGCGAAATTAAATTAGTCAGTCTTTTTTATTTTGTTGCTAAATTTTGAAAGAATTAGGTTAAACTTCTCGCTTCGCTTGGATCCCAACTTTCTTCTAGTATACATACCATTTGCTTTTGAGATGAGTTTTTACCATGTTTTCCAAGACTGGTAAATTTACAGTGAAGTCCTCTTTCAATGCTGCATTTGTTTTTTGGCTTGGTCAGGCAGTTCATTTCCCATTATAACAGGGTGATCTCGAATCCAAGTAATCTGATGTCTAACATTTCTGTCGATGTTAGTATTTCTTTTAAAGAAAAAATGCTTAACTTTAGACCACTGAAATTCTTGAAGGATCTGGGGCCCACTTAATTTATCGGAGTATATGTTAACCAAACTGATTTTCTCTTGGAAAAATTCTTCTGCCAATAATACAGTTTTGTGCAGAGCTAATGTTTCCACCAGAAAAATATGACCCCTTTTTTCCCTTTTGTGCATTTTTATTATAAGCTGCTGGTTTGTGACAGTAATTTTTCTATTCTTCCCAAATAAACAAACTTAATTTTTAGATAATGGCCGTTAATTCACAATACGAGTAATCGACAATTGGCTGTATGTGCAATATTATGTGAAATCCATTAATTAATTTTAATAGCCATCCGAAATCAGCTTTAACGGTTCATTCCTCTTTTTAACAAATTCTAAAAAGGAATTGTAAGCAAGTACATACTGTATTTAGTATAGCTTTACTGCATATGAATTGTGATGTTGCAACCAAACTATACGCCATCTCGCAGCAACAAGAACAACATACAGGCAATCAACCTCCAGCTGCGATGAGGATATATTGTCTAATATTATATCCCCGTGACTCAAAGTTTAATACAAAATGTTAGGTGTTCCATTTCTGTGTATATTCTCTTTTAAGGTATATTTTCTTTGTAGCTCATTTTGTGCTCTATATACTTTCAAAAACTAGCCGGCATTTGTGTTTATTAAAGAACTGTTACAATATATTAAATATAAAATTTAACTGTATTTTATATGTTTCTTATGTCTCTTTCCTTTGTAAATCTATCTGTACTTCTACCGAGAGGCACATAATCATTTTTATGCAAATATACATGCCCTGACATGGCACGTATACGTTAGCCATCTCTTGTTTTACCTGAATTTTTACACTAATCCTGAATTTGTTTCATCAAACAATGATTTTGTTCAAATTGTAGTAAGCTGCTCTGATAAGGGAGTTAAATGGGTCAAAATAAGCATAGAACACAAGCTAATAGTCCAAATAAAATATTATCTTTATAGAGCTCTTGCTTATGGTCTGTATGGTATGCAGTGGCGGCTGCTTTCACTCCGGTTTTTTGCTTTCTGGGTAAGATGCAGCTGTTTTACACAGTAACATCTTTATGGAGTAGGCATATACGAAATTGGTTTGCACAAAATTTCTCAAAATACGCTGGTGCTACGAAAGGAAGGATAAGAGATCCTTCAGTCCCATACCTGGAGTATGCGATTAAAGTTGTGATGGTATTGACATAATTATTTAAATGGTATGGAAGCAATAGTGTTTGCCATTGACAATGTGGTCAGTTCCACCGTGGCAGCAAATTTGCGCTTATCATTAGGCAGTCGCAGTCTTCTTGTCATTAATGGCATCATGATGATGCCATTAATGGCAGGAAGAATCAGAACCCATCATCAAGACTTCTTCCCTAATGAAGACGAACGAACACGAACAGTGGCCGATTTCGATGAAGCGTAAACACTATTATGAAGGAGTGCCGTGAATTGGAGGTGCTTAACTGTAATCTTCTGAAGAAAATTATTAATAAAACTCTTCAAAATAATGTAAATTCCAATAAAGGTATGCAGTAGTTTAAAACATTAACATACGCCTTACCTTTGCCCATGCCGAAAGCATCGATTTTGAAGTTATCCTCCCCGACAATACCGTCCGTAAGTTGACCTAGGCCTCCGTGTAAATAACTGTCATCTTTAACACCATCGTACGTCATATCGGAAAGGTTCACTTCTGCTCCTCTCCTTTCCCCCTGCGGCATCGAATATGACAGGAATCCATCTGCAAAAATATAAAAACAATACAATATTTCATTGGGATTGTTTCAAAATTTGATATAGACATTTTTTAGCACCGGAAGTGCTATTAATATGGAAACTCCTTTTTTTGCCCGTATCACTTTTCAGATTGTTGCCATCAAATGTTCTCGCCATGTATGATTTAATAAAATTAAGTAATAAGGAATCTGCATGAATGCATGTATGCTCCTCGTATTGTAGAAAACGATGGCATCTAGAGCCATCAAATTTTTCTTAGATATAGTCTTCTACACGAAATGAATTTTGAATTTGAAATTTGGCTTTGATTTATTTATATTTTGTTCAAACTTAACGAATTTTTGATTAACAAACTTAGAGATTTGAAAGCGAGAAGTGTCAATACTGGTCGAAATAAAACATTTTTATCTCCAGCGCGACAGACTGCTACCTTTCGGCAAAGTGTAAGATACTTACCTTTCAGTTTTAATCAACAAATTAGGCAAATTGAAAGCAATGTCTTGGCAAAGGCTGAAATAAAGTACTTTTATTTTCCACCTAATACGGAATCCCCCCTGATAAAACTTAATTACAGTTGCTATGAACCATACTTGATGTAAATTTGTACTAGAGAAAACGAAACTATTCCATTTTATTCATATGTGGACTTCTGAAAAATAGATTATTAACTTTTAATTTCTTTACCTCCAAAGCAAAAAAAAAATATTTTTGATAAACAACATACATAACAAAAGGCTTATTCCCATAATTTTTTGGAGAAGAAATAATACTGAGCAGAACTACAAACGCTTCGAAGCATAAATAGGGAAAATACCTATTTAAAATTCATAACAACTATTCAATATCGTATGTAAGTATTTCGCAAGCAGCCTTGAGGTATTTTGCCTGAAGAATATACCATCATAACAAGACCACGCACTCATCGAATTAAAGAACTATTCGCGTGATCTCGATAAAAATATATCTGTGCATTTTTTCGAAGACTTACTCCTTAACAAGCTATTTTCGTTCCAGAATTTCTTTTAAAATGCATTCCATGATGAGATATAGCAAAATGACTTTGAAGATTCCAGCAGCAAAATATGTTTTTTTCACGTGACTGCAGCCAAGATTTGAGTGTGTGCTCATGATACCAAAATTAAAGTACACAAAATAAAATTCTTTCTAAGCAATATGTATCTTATAATACCTACTCTTGGCCATGATTGGGGAGAGGGAAAACATCGGAGCACGTATTCAGAAGAAAACCAATTTGGATTTCAAGCAGTCTCAAAGGAAAAAAAAGCACCTATTTACTCAAAAGCTACTTGCCGAAAACTTTATTTATATATTTATTTCAACATTCGATTTGCAAAAATTGTAAGTCTTCGAAAATAATAAATATGAAAATGACACGGGGACCGATATGACATCAATCAAACATCACGGAAAACAGGCCATTTCCTTTCCTCTCCGCTGCCCCCTCCCCCAATGTTGTTCACCCACATCTTCTTAGGCTCTGCAACACTTCAGGGAAGTATCGAATAGGGGGGTGTCTTGAAAATGTATCATAATGTTCGTTTCGAAAGTGGGGAAGAAAACGTTTTCTTTGCACCGCATTCCTTTTTGGTGGGAAAACCGAGTGTGCAGAAGGGGGATAAGGTCTACAACAAGATTGGAGAAGCAAAGGCCCCTTTTGTAGGAGGGTTGGCTGCATCATTGCAAGTGATTGAGGGGCGTCTTCGTAGGAAAAGGGATGCTCCTTCGGAAAATAAGGGTTTCTACTACTGTTTGCGTCTTTTCATTCCCTAGTGTAATGAAGGTGTTGGGGGTTGCAGATCGGGAGTCGTCAAATTTTATCGCCAATCGTTTAGTGGAAGCGCCAAAGGCAATTAGATTTTCCGTTTTCCAGTGCAAAGATTATTTAGCACACTGACTACCACGACATATTTTGTCCTGTAACTGTTGTGAAAGAATTAAATTTCCATTGCCTCTAACATACATCAGGTACAGTCAAACTCGGTGTATACGTCTCACGCGCCGTATTCCATATTTAAAACCCTTTAGTGCGGCTCGCATCGTAATAAACATTTTTTTATTTCCTAAATAATGTTTTAATTTCGGAATCGTACAATGACAAGCTTATTTAATAATCAGTCACTTTACATTTTAAATTATATTGTATAGATATATTTGCCTCTCTCTGTGTGTGTGTAGAATAATTTTAAGCAATTTAAAACTGCGCGCCATTTCTGCGTATTATTGCCACGGCGATTCTAATTAAGATAACTAAAGGCTGTTAGAAAAGCAGAAAAGACAAATACATTAACGGAGTGCTTGCTGCATTGATAATATACCTTAGTGAATGGTCCTACGAATATGTTATGTTTAATTACTGGAGAAAACAAAACGTAGTTAATAATCAAATTTACATTTAATCAATTTATTAAATGATTAAGTTTTTTCTCCATATGTCAGTTATCACATTAGTTGTGTATAAAAAATAAATTATTATTTTTTACGTAAAAATCCCACAAAAAGGTTACCATCTCACACAGCTGTATCACAAAATTCACTGATGAACTCTGTAGCACACCAACAAATGGTAACACAAAATTACACTTGCAGCTATAATTACATTAAGATCGACAGTTACTATAGCGATGAATTTGTGATATACATGATCACAAAAATGAGATAATTAGCAAACGTGAAATTCTACGTTAAATTAAGCAAATCGGCTATGAAGACATTGACCATGCTTCGGCAAGCTTTTGAGCGGTATGTAACATTCCGAGTGACAGAGACGTTCCAAATGCGATAAAAGGATGCAACGAAACCAGTCCCTCTCGCCTGCGGATTATCGGTGGACGATCAACAACAATGCAGACATGATTTTATATGTCGAACTGTACTTTGCAGACAGTCTTAATGTAGAAACTGAACATGCGAAAAGTTGCTGACAAGTAAGTTTGTCCTCATCTCCTGAACATTTTAGAAAAAGTGCCGTTGGCATGCAGATCGAAATTACGTCCAGAATCATCATCAATAATGAGATTCAGCATCAATAATTATATTTGCAGTTTTTCCGATGCACGCACTGTCTATCTCATTTACTTTAAAAAGCATATAAAATCAGTTTTCAAATTATTGCAGTATTCTTATTTAGGATGAAAAGATTTTATGTTATTATAACGATCACTAAATCTGCTTTCTTTTCAATTTTACTCATATTAAAAGCAGTTGACAATTATTACCAGAAAACAATTTTGGAAACCAAGGAAAATGCTTGACATTCTGTGCGAGAGAAAAAAGTATTCAGTACACCGTACAAGTGCTAAGGTACTTTATAAGGTACTTCTCTCGCCTTCTTAGCATACATTCGTGGTGTGGTGGTCTGCACGCTGGGCGTGTATTCCAGAGGTCCACGGTTCGATTCCCGGCGAAGGTGTTGCTCATTTTTTACGTCTTCCTGTTTCAAAAATAACCGAATGTCTCTACAGTGGCGCCCGAACTAAAAGGGTGGCGGATGATGATTCTTCCCACCCAGGAATTGTCGATTGGGTCCCTTAAAAAACAGTCGCCCTTTGAAAGGGGAAGTATATAAGGCACTTCTCCCACCTTCTTAGCATGCCTTCGTGGTGTAGTGGTCTGAACTCTGGGCGCGTATTCCAGAGGTCCGTGGTTAGATTCCCGGCGAAGGCGTTGCTCATTTTTCACAACTCCTGCTTCCAAAATACCTAATGTCTCTACAACTTGTAACTAGTAGGAACGTATTTTTCTAAATTTAGGGCCAAAGCAAAAAAATAATAATTAATAACTGTATGTCTGTACTAAAATACAAATTCATTATGGTAACAAAGGCAAATAGAGGGGTGCCGAAATACACAGGTTTTTGCAATGGAATGCGTATGTGGAAACGGCGTGTTGAGATGGTACAAGAACTCTTATAATCGGTCGATAAAAGCGGTCTGATAGCGTAAATCGCCATTTCCTGTGGGGTTTTCGAACGGTGCATCGCAAAATGTACGCAGCACTCATGGATATATATTTTACCTATGTGCTAAGGATGGAAATGAAACAGCTGCTAAAACGACATACAGAGAACTATCTCCAAACGTTCGAAAGTATTAACCGCCACAGTGAGTCTTCTGTCACTGTTAATTGTTGCACTTTCGACCACTTACTGTAAGAAGCTGAATCATTAGAATATTTATTTCTTCTCATTTTATCCGTCTTTCCTGTTTAGCTTTCGTTCACGTACCTTACGTTCCAGCAATTGCATGCGCCATTTCTGCATATCCATTCCATCACAAAATCTGCCATTTTTGGCCCACTTTTACCTGCATTTATTTTTTTTCAAATAGTTTAAAATGTCCTTGTATATTTAAACTCTTTTTCAATTATCGCAGATTTCAAATTTTACTTCACCGTCAGTGATATATAGTATAAAATTTTTCATCAAATCACATTTTACTATTCCTAGATGCAGGATTGAAAAACCTTTGAAGATTCCGATTCTAATTCGAAAAAAATTTAGAATTCATACCGGATATAATCTAAATCACCTGAATTCATTCATATCATTTTACGGGGCGTTTCCTTACGTGTACACAATCGAATGAGAGGGGAAGTCTGTTTCCACAAATATATGCCTATGTTTATATTTAAATCGACCTCTGCCGAAAAACAATTCCAGAAAATGTAAACACATTTTTCACCGTACCAAATTTCATCGAATATTCCTGTGTTGGCTTAAAGTGGGGAAAACCTATCACAGAGTACAGAACCACCGTCTTAAAGTAAAATGGTTGAATTTCTTACCTTCTGTTCTCATAAATATTTATTTGCTTCGATGAATTTGAATTCCATCATTGGAAAAAAAGAAGGTACATATGCAACAATGTCTAACGGAAGAGTTACGAGAAATCGAAAAACGGCTGTTTGCAACATGAACTTAGTTTTTTCTAAACAAAATAAATTCGCTGTTCAACAGCCGAAATATTTCGTAAATGTACGTCTCGC